AAAGGGCATTTTAAGAAGTCTTTTGCTTTGTCACATACCTGACAGGAATGGGTAATTTACTCATTTCTGAACTCATGGCTTCCACTTTCTAGTTCTTAATCCTTTCACTTATTTGTATTTTCCATTCCATTGTATCCTGATCCAGTAACACCCCAGCTTCTAAAGATGGAAGTAACATGGATTTGTGTCTTACTCGTCTCTATCATTCACCAGCTGAATGACCTGAGGCAGGTTACTGCTGTTCTTTGAACCTTGATTTTTTTTACCTAGAAAGAAATCTTATCTAGAAAGCAGGCATGGTACACTCCATCTTCCTGGGCTTTTCTGAGTCCAAAAAGAGAGAACATCATAAAAAGTATCTAGCCTGCTGTGTTGATGCATCGGGATCCCTTCCTTCTCTCTTGATTGCTAGGTTGGAGCACCTGCTGTGAATAATTCCACCATTCCTCTCAGTGCCTTTTAACACACAAAGAGACAGATCTTCTTCCAACGTCTGCTACTGGCTCCTGTGTGGGAGCCACCATCAGTAGTCAGGGCAGTAATCAGAAAATTCTGGAGCCTCCAGCCTACATAGGTCTTAATAAGCCCCCTTCTTTCTCACCACGGCAATATAATCATAAGACCTTTGGGACTGAAGGAGAGGAACGGAGCAGAGCTGAGTATGGGGACAGGAAGGGGAGGAGGTGCCTGGCCTCAAGTTAGAGCTTGTCTTCACCCACGTGACTGTGACCTGGCGACGGCCAGTTGTTCTAGACTTAAACTGCATGAGTGACTATGTGGGAGGATGTGGAGTCCAGGAGGAGAATGATAGCTCATTGACATCCTCAGATTCTTGATCCAGGAATCACACCCATGTCACTATGCCTTCGAGATGTGGGAAACAAGAGGGCTTTTCCCAGTGGCCGAAACACCCCTGTAATTTTGGCTCTCTTTTGTGTGATGTAGTAGAAACCACAAAAATACAGGAGGATGGGACTCTACAGAAAAAGCTTTCATATGTAAAAATGGGGAGAATAAAAAGTGGAGAACTAAAGAAACTCAGGTGAGTGTTCTTTGCCCCTTAAAATCCCCCAGTCTTACAAAATAATAGCCTCTGGGGATCACATGCTATAGAAATACAACTGCTTTGTGCTGTCTTTCTAAAATGATTTGAACTCCTTTTCCAACAAAGGAATATCTACTGTTTTTACACTTAATCAGCTGTAATGAAGGAATATGAAGAGCTGTCATGTGCTTATTAGGGAAAATTATCAGATATTCTTTTATATGATGAAGTAACACACTGAGCTGATAATTCTATAGTGCACACTAAATTACAATTAAAGGCCTTTCTGCTCCACCAGAATCTCATTTATAATCTCTATGGAAATATTCTTCCTACACTTATTTCATTTATGCTTCCTTTATCTAATTACAATAATATTGGTTCTGAATCATATTTTCCTAATGTCTCCTTATTCAATTATAAAGTTATTTTCAAGTACAGTTACTTTCTAATATCAAAGAGTACCACTTGGCCATCTGTGTCATTTGTCATGCTTCTCAACTGCAGACTGTTCCTAAGCCACTTTTTCTCCCTCCACTTTTAAGGAGGGCGAAACTCCCATAAATCAAAAATCTATTGAATTTAGCCTGCAATGAATGTCCTGATCATGAGCTGTACAAAATTGGATATTCTACACTTTGTGTGTCTTTAATACATGCTCCTGTTTTGTTAGGTTTCAAGAAACATACAGAAGAAATACTGTCAGACCCTGAAAGTTTTTGTGTTTTAGTCTACAGAAGTAGCTCTGTACTGAAGGGCTGTTTCTGACCTTGCTCTTTTAGCTCAGAGTAGCCTGTAGATTAAGGACATGGACACATGAGACTATTGAGAAGTACAATATTTGCTTCTCTAAGACTGTTCCCTAAAGGTAACAGTCACAAGTGCTCAGTGACAATGTGCTCTGGTTCCCTACAAATCCATCAGTGTGATCCCCTGAGTAGGGACTGTGTGGATCCTAGCAGATGGATGAGAGGCTTGGTAGCCAATCCACAAAATGTTGTCTCTCCCCTTCCCATCTGGGCTCACTAAGGAAGGACACAGACTATTGAGCAAAAGGTTTTCACTGATCAGAATTTAATGAATTTAGTGAGTGGGTTATGTCTTGATGTGAGGTTGTTTTCTAAAGATCTAAGGGTGGAATGGCTAGTCTCCAAGTTATCAACTCAACCCCTTAAGATCCAGAGAAACATGTAATTATCCTAAATAGCTAACACTGCATCAGAGTGTCAGGAATACTTAAATTCAGCAAACAATCATCAAACTAAAAAGAGAGAAGTGTTTTCTACTGAAGAGAATGCTTCTACTTATTTTGATTTTTCCAACCAGACAAAAAGGAAACTATAAATAATGTTTCTCATTCTTCTTCCCTTATAAAAATGCTCTCTTAGTTAAATAACTCATTCAAATGAGCACCAGTCTCTCTTATTTGTGGTTTTTAAAGGACAATAAGTGATTGGATTTCGTGACAGCTTGTAATGACGACCAGGATCCCTCATGGGATCTACTGGCTGGGCTAACCATGGAGTCACCTGGGCCTCCAGGGAAGGAGACCACGGCACCAGCAGCCACGGCCCCCTCTCCTCGATCCGGTAGATGCCAGGCCCCCTGCTTGCCTGGATCAGCTCTCAAATGGCTACAAGGTTTCCAGGGTTTAAAAAGAAAGCTCTTTCCTGCAAAGAATTTGGGGACTATGGGCTTTGGTCTTTCTTAAGACTCTTCTCTATAATGAGCTGCCTAAAGTAGCCAAAAGGACTTAGTACTTCATATTCTTTATTTTGTGTGTTATATCTCTTTAGTTTAAAGATAAGAAATTGACTCAGTAACAGTTTTTGTAAGAGAAGGGGGCAAATTACATGATTAAATGTATTCATTTAAACAATAAGTGTATTCATTATAAAAGTATATATATATATATATTAATTTTGGGAGGTGTGGGTAGGTAATTAGGTTTATTTATTTGTTTATTTCTTAACGGAGGAACTGGGGATTGAACCCAGGACTTGTGCATGCTAAGGACATGCTCTACAACTGAGCTATACCTTCCTCCCTAAAAGTATACGTTTTTGAATTAAGAAAATGAGGAAGATGAATTATTAAGTCAGTCCTACGAGGCCCTTTTTAACAGGCAGTCACTGCCCTTTTCACATGTGAGGTCACAGACAGGTTAGCTATGTTGTCCAGGGCCATACAACTAATGAGGGATGGAATCAGAATTCCAACCCAGAGCTGTGCACTTGGAATACTCTGTGCTGCTCCTTTCAATACCTGGCTGTCCTTCTCTTCACCTAGATTTGGCCAGCTCCTGACCCTTTATCTCTGCCTCACCTCCAAACACTCCCCACCAGCCCTCCTGACAGCAGCCAGAGGGACTTCTCTCCAACCGCCTGCTCATTCTCTCACCTCTGAGCCCTGGTACCCATAAGGACCCTTCTCTCTCCCCTTCTCAGGTTCTTCTTTACTCGGATAAATACTTATAGGCCTAGGTCTCAGCTTAAATACACCTTTTTGAGAAAGTCTTTCTGTCACCCCCTCATCTCCTGGACTAGTGTTTTTCAAAATATTTTGACCTAGAGTGATAAATACATTTTACATCAAGATTGAGCATATATGATCGCACGTATTATGCACAGTTTTCATTTCATCTTATTTTTTTAAGTGTGTAATTCATTGGTTTTGAGTATATCCACAGGGTTGGGCCATCACCATCACTATCTAATTCCAGGGCAATCTCATCACCTTAAAAAGAAGCCCCTGGGTATGTATAAAACCAAAATGAATTTTATTCCAGGAAATAATACTTTGCCTTGCTTACAATGAGGAATGAATGCTCACATTGTCCGTTTTATTCTATTCTTTTCATTGCATTAAAAAAAAATCTTGCAGTGACTCACTACATTCATTTCATGTCCCATTACTGAGTTGTAACCTACAGTTTGGTAGACCTTGCCGTAAACTACAGCAGGCCTCCCTGTCCCACCAGTCAGAGGACTGTTTTCTTCCTCTTGGAGGACCTAGCACACTGGCCACTACTTGGTGATCGTGTCGGCCTGCCCTGTAAGACGATATTCTGGGAGGGCAGTGTCTAGATGTGCCTTATTTTTCACTGTCTCCCCAGTGCCAAGTGCAGGGAAGTAGTGGGTACTCAATAAGTATCTGTTGACTGAATAAATATTTGCCTTTGAAAGAGAAAAATAACCCTATACATTTCTTTTTGGTTAGTGTCCACACAAGGCAAATGTAATGCAGTAAATCTATTATTTTGCACTTACTACCAGTGGAAGGAAGCCAGCAGCTGTGTTGCCTCTTCCTCCAAAATAGGGATCTGGCCACGAGTTACCCATATAAATGTCTCAGTGCTTCCTTTCACTGTGCCCTATAAATTCAGCTGGCGCAGCCCTGTCTCCAGGAGGACCCTCCCGAGGAACTCAGTCGATGAGTGGCACGAGCAGTGGGGCCGTAACAAAAAGCCCTTGGCAAAAGCTTCGCTTGTGGTGAATAAGCCAGCAGGGACATTTCCTCGCCCTCCTCTGTGCCGGGGCCCCGCCTCACCCCGGCCCCAGCCCAGCCCAGCCCAGCCCAGCCCCATCCCCGCCCCGCGCCGGGTACCTGTCTTTGCCGGTCTCGCGCTTGAAGAGCTCGTCGAACTGCAGCATCTTGTGGCGCGTGATCATGAAGGCCTTCAGCCGGGGCAGCACCTGGCTCAGGAGCTGCAGGTTGTTGTACACCTGGCCCTTGCCGTCGCGCCGCATGTAGCTGCTGGGGCCCCAGAAGATGAACACGGTGCCCTGGCTGACGTTGAGCAGGTCGTGCCGGTTGCGGAGGATCCTCTGGATGCTCGAATGCGCGATGACCCTCAGGCTGGTGCGGTTGCCCACGTCGCGCCCATAGCCGCGCGTCGGGGCGTCATTCATGCGGATGACGCACTCGGTCTGGTCAATCTGGGGGCCTTGCCGGCTGCGCAGCAGGTGCCCGGAGCTCGTCACCAGGGCGCAGTCCCTGCAGTGCATTTTCAGTGGCTGGAAGGAGGAGCCGAAGGAGCCCATCAGCACAACACTGGCTTGGCCCGGCAGGCCCCTTCCTGGCTCAGAGGGCTGCCCTTCCTCTCTCTCCTCCCTCCCATGCCAGAGTACGTCCCTTATGCTATTACCTCATGTGCCCTGACATCCTCTTCCGAACTGGAGACAGGAAGCATTGGACAAGAAGGGAAGAAAGCTGGCATTGACCTGTCAAATACGGGGCTCTGGGCTTTACTGGTATTAAAAGATCATACCGTCACATCAACCTACCAAGATTGCTGTCACTGCCATTTTGAGGATACGCAGGCTCAGAGATGTTCAAAAATTTGCCCAAAGATGCGTAACTAGCAAGTAAGGGAAGTCGTGGTTTCAAACCCAGGTCTTTGTGAATCCAGTTACACCAACGTTGAAGAAAAGACTGTACTGCAATTTGCTGCGACACTAGTTTTGATGCTCTTAACTCACCTTATTGAGAGTTAAGCCTGCATCGGTCTTCTTGGATGCTGTACAAATGTGTTTATCCTAAATAGATGTCGTCTAAGAATCACATGAGCAAAGACAGCAAATTGTGACCCCCTCAGATGCCATACTTTGAAATGACAATTAGGTTAGTTTCTTCCATTTTAAGGGGAGACTGCAAGGACTTAAGTTGGCCCATCTTCAGAAATGTAAAGAAAGCTTCAAGCCCATCGGTGAACACGTGCCCTGGGGGCGTCCTGGCCATGAAGTTGCCACCAGGGACAATGCCAATGACCACGGTCATTTCAACACCCTGAACCAACGACGTGCTCTCCGAACACATACTTTCTTATGAATTAAACATTTCCCTGTTCATGTTTAATGAGAAATAGCTCTTAGTTGCTGCTTGAAGGTAATGTAATTAAGGCCTGAGGCCAAGGCCAGCAAGTGCACAAGAAAATGACAGTCAAGAATGTTTTGAAGGAAAGTTGCTCTGTTAGATTTCCCCCTGAGCCTCAGCCTTTCTTCCATGATAACTTTGAGCCGGACACACTGGCTCCCTGCATGGTCTCAGGAAGTCAGATCCAATTTAGTGCTGCATATATTCAGTCTAGTATTTACTCTGGCAGTTTCCTGAGCCACAGCTTCACAACCAGACAGAGAGCACCTGAGGGTGGCCACCCTCTCTCACTACAGAGTGGCCAAGGGCACTAGCTCTGGGGGCTCACAGCATGGGTCCAGCCTTGTCTCCACCACCTGTTGCGATGGGCTCTTGGCAAGTCACTAACCTCCACATGTCTCAGTTTTCGCATCTTTCACTGAGGATAATTAATGCCCCATTCCACTTCGGTAGAATTAAAATACACACAGTATAAGATTGAGCCATTTGAAACTGCTAACATTTGATTTACAAAAGTCGCAATGACATAGGGAGTTGAACCCAATTTTTACCCTAGGACCTGGCATAGTGTCATTCATTCAGTGACAGCTGCAGTTGAGATTAGCAGGCAGAGTGGAGCGCATTGTAGATATGCACTGAATCAGTGTGTACTGATCACTTTGGGTTAAAAATTGACACATGGGCTTATGAAATGGCAATTCTACCATCGCAAATCCTCATCATTCATTTAACACCCAATTACTCTTAGACGACATGCATTGCGCTGGGCAGTAAGAATGCGAATGGAGTGGAAAAATAGAGCCCCTCAAAATTTATACTTTAGTAGGGGACAGTGGGTCAGTAAAAATGTACAATAAAGTGTTACAGAATGGGGGTTCTGCCACAGCATTAGTAAGGGGGGCTGTTTAGAGCACAGCAAAGCTGGGGGCAACTTAGTTAATATTTTTGGATGCTCTCTCTGGGCCACACCCTGTTCTGAGCTTTTTTAATAACTGCATTAATTCTTCAAATAACCCTATGAGAAAGATACTATACTATCACCCCTGTTTCACTAATGAGAATACTGAGGGGTAGAAAAGTGAAGGAACTTGCTCAAGACCATCCAGTTAGGAAGTGGCAGAGCTGGGAATTGAACCCAGGAAACCTGACTGCAGAGTTGATGGGATTACCCATTATGGATTGGAGTGAGGTATATTAAACAGAAGAAGTGGCATGGGATGCTCGCTTAACTCACTGTCTGCCCTCTCTTCTCCCGCCCAGAATCTCAGGGATGCTGTTTCTTACTCAGGGTGGTGTTGTTGCTCTTAGGACGTGGGGCTGCAGGGTGCAGGGAAGTGGGGAGGGTCTTCTATCCAATATGTCCGGACCCTGAGGCCCATTCACAATGGGCTCGTCCAACTACAGCCTTAAGTTTAATGATGGTGAAATGTGGATAAGACCAAACCTTCCCTTTGAGGAACAGCCACATTACAGATGCCCAGAAAGGGGCTCCTACCCCCCGCTCAAGAAACTGCTGGAATATGGAGTAGGGAGGCCTTCTGAGTCCCCTGGGTGTACTCCTGTGGGTGAGGGGCAATTTCATCGGCCAAAGGATGGAGGAAATTCTTAATTTTTCTTTTCCTGATTTTACCTGCACATCCCGTACAGAAAAGATGAAGAGGAAAAATTCAACAATGATCTATTTAATGAGAGGGTTCCTACTAGGTGTTAGGCACTGAGCTTGGCGATGTAGATAAAAAGGCAGATAAGACCTAGGCCTCCTTCTCAGGAGGCAGACAGTCTAGGGGGTGCAATGACAGGGCCGTGCTAGGCGCTATAATACACTCAGGCCCAGGAGCCATGGGACCAAAGATGAGGGAACACCTGGGCCTGTCTAGAAGAGCTAGAGAGGTGGGAGGAAAGACAGGAAAGGACTGTGTGATGGAGACCAACAGATGAGTTCATTTGTAAAAGGAGGGAGTGGTCAACGGTCTCATTAAGATACAAAAGGACAGGTGAAACCAGACTTGGCAAGTGTTCTTTGCATTTGCTAACTTCAACCAGAATAGTCTCTGTTGAACAAAGGTGACAGAGTCTGACTGTGGCTGGACAGGAAGAAGCAGAGGCTGACGCTCGGCTGCAAAGGGCTGGTGGAGGGTTAATGGGGGAGCCGGGCAGATCTGCAGGATGGACTTTGACACTTAGGCACACAGGAAGAGTAGTCAATTTACTAGTATTTTTGGATGTCCTCTACATGTCAGGCACTATTCTGAGTTTTAAAAATAATTGTGTTAATCTTTAAATAACTCTATGAGAAGGATACTAGATTATCACCCCTGTTTTATTAATGAGACTATTGAGGGGGTAGAAAAGCAACCTGATTTGTTAGGGGTTGTTTGGGTTTTAGCACTGAAAGTCCTGCATCCTGGGAAACCTCTGCTTATTTAGAAGCCCACTTAAAAAATTCCTGCAAAGATGACAGGGTCATCTGCAAATAACATGCTATTTACTAAATGATGATTAGGGTCAGGAGACCAAGAGTCTAAAGCAGACTTTATCACAAATCAGGTGCTTAACTTTCTCACCCATAAAACAAAGAGAGGGCCAACTAGATACTTGTGGCCAGACGACATTCATTTGTTCATCCATTTAAAAGGCATTTATTGAGCACTTAATACACCCTTGAGGTGCTGTGTAACTCAGTACATCTGTTTAATAAGGTCACCTTGTAAGATTTCATTCCACTGGACCCGAAGGCCATTGGAACCTGCTTTTTCTCATCAGACTCACCTAAAACTACCATCCTGAATTTTCCAGTTTGATTTATAATTTCAGGACGTTGTGCTCATTTTTACTGGGGAAAACGTTCTAAAGAAAGATCCCAGCATCCCTTTCCCCAATAACTAATTATTCTGCTGCAATTCTCAAAGCACAGGCTGCCTGACGGTTGAAAGTCGTAGCACCTCTGGAGATTCCAAGGTCTTCTTTCTCCCTCTCTCTCCCTCTCTCCCCCTCTCTCCCTCTTTCTCCTATGCCTACGTGAGGCCAGATGAAAACCCTTTCAGGGGAGGCCAAGGCTCCTGACAATGCTGTACTAACCCTCTGTGATTACAGGGTACCACTAGAACAGACTGGGGTCCACCCAGTCCCAGAAAGCCCTCCCTCATGATTCCTGCCCCCTCTGCCTTATTAGCTCTGAGGTATTGATTACCCCGAGCACCAATACCCTCTCTTTGAGTTGTACAAATGCACCAAACAATGAAAAAGGTCTAAGTCTGAATGATGCCTTAAGTGCCTTTTGGTAAGCGGTGCCAATAAAGTGACAATAGCTGTTCTAAACATAATATTACACTTCCCGCAGTTGAGATGAGCCCACACTGAAGGCTGAATCCCTTCCAAAGGAGGAAATGAAGTCTGTTTCCTGCATTCAGAGGGGCTAATGATAACTTGGGAGGCAGAATAACCAAAAATTATACAGGGTTCTCAGGATGCAATGCAGTCCTCTGAGACAGCCATGCACCTCCACGGTTCTGTACCATTATCATCCTTAGTGTCTTAATGATATGGGTGGAAATATTCATGCTTCGGTGATTCCTGGTGCAGCATTTATACGTTCTTCCCTTAAGCACTCAGATGCTGGGTTGACGAATCACTCAGCAGAACGTGGGAAGGTGAACTTAGGGCTCTGGTAGCGGGCCTGGGAGACAAAACTGCACTGAGGATTTAAGAGGGGAGGTGGCTCCCAGTGAATTCACTTTCTACCTCGGCTTCCCCTCTAGCCTACCTCGCATGCTGCTCAGCCTCCCTGATTCCTGGGGACGTTTTCCTGAGAGCCCCATTTGGTGGGGTGTTCCACCCTTTGGTAGGAAACATGGGCACCCGAATTAGGTCTCCAATCTTGGGAGTCTTGCTTGCTTCCTGACCCACGAAAAACACTCCATTACTGCTAACTAGATGGATGGATTGATTAGTGAGTGAATGAAACTCAACCTCCAGGCTTCCCTGTCCTCTGAGGAAACCTCCATACATAAAAAGAAGACATAATGTGGGGCCCTAACCACCGATTTGCCTGCGGACCCCAGCCCTCTGCACTAATACCACGGAGAGAAGCAGGGGAAGGCACTGTGGAAGCCCCTGCCTGCAGAGAAGGCGCCGCGGCCTC